GTTGATGTCAGAGAGCTTACTGCCTGTGTTCTCTTCAAGGATTTTTGTGGTTTCAGGTCTCACATTTAGGCCTTTAATCCGTTTTGAGTTTATTTTTGTATGTGACATAAGAAAGTGGTCCAGTTTCATTCTTTTGCTTGTTGCTGTCCAGTTTTCCCAACACCATTTGTTGAAGAGACAGACTTGGATATTTTTTCCTCCTTTGTCAAAGATAAATTGGCCAAATAATTGTGGGTTTTTTCTGGGTTTCTGATCTATTCCATTGATCTATGTGTCTATTTTTGTGCCACTACCTGTGGGAATTCACAGTGCCTGGATAGATAAAACCTGACTTGTATATGCCTCCCTAGATGAGACTAATTGGAAAGCAAGGGAAGAATGCCCAGAATGTTGGGCCTCCTCTTAATTTTCTTGGCTGAATGTGGCCAGATTCTTATTGTGGCTCAAGGATCTCATCCAGGGAGTAAATGCTTAAATGCAGGCCCCTGTAGGGGTCACATACTTCAGGAACTCCTTGCCTCGCTCGTGGTATATTAATTAAAATCACAATAAAAACAGAGACAGAGCTTGGCTCGAGGCCTTTCGACACCGGAGCATTTAGCCCTCAGGCCTCTCCTTTCTCCTACTAAGGTGTTGAGAAAAATCCTTTCATTCATCTGTCTCAGGGTTTGCTGGCCAAACCCAACAACTACCATACTGTTTTAATTACTACTGCTTTGTAATATAACTTGAAATCTAGAATTGTGATACCTCCAGTTTTGTTTTTCTTTTTCAAGATTGCTTGCCATTTGGGGTCTTTTATACTTCCCAATTTCAAAACTACAAGGCTACAGTAATCAAGATAGTTTGATAGTGGTATAAGAAAAGATACAGAGGCTTGTGGAATAGAACTGAGAAGCCCAGAAATAAACCCTTACATTTATAGTTAACCGATTTTGAACAAAGGTGCCAACACAATTCAGTGGGGTAAAGGATAGTCTTTTCAATAAATGATGCTAGTACACTTGGATAGCCACATGCAAAAAGATGAATTTGGCCAATTACCTCACATAATACACACATTTAATTCAAATGGATCATATAACTACATGTAAGAGCTAAAACTACAAAATTCCTAGATAAAAAATAAAAACAAAAACACAAGAGGAAGCCTTTGAAACCTTGTATGTAGGAAAAATCCTCTCTCTTTCTCCTGTGTGTTTCTCCATTACTCTCACGTGACTACACAGTCACACTTCTGACTCCTAACGTGTGTGGGTTTTCCCAACACCAAGCAATTCTGTGACCCCATCTGGGTTTCCTATAATTTAATTCTATTCTGACACTTCCTATCTGGAGATAGAGTCAAGTCCCACAGGTTAAGGGCTCAATCCCCCAAGACCACCCTCCACTTCAGATGCTAATTACAAATAGTAGGTCCCCAGATTACCCACAACCTTTGTCCAGCTTGGCTATAAATAACAGGTTCTCATCACCTCCTTCCTCTTTGATTTGATTATTTGCTAGAACAGCTCACAGAACTCAGTGAAACACTAATGTTTACTGGCTTATTATGTAATAAAGGATATGCTAAAGGATAAGGATGAACTGCCAGATAAAGTGATACATTGGGCAAGGTCTGGAGGGTCCTGAGAGCAGAAGCTTCTGTCCTCATAGATTTGGATCACATCACTCTCCTGGTACGTGGATGTGTTCACTGACCTTGAAGCTCTCCAAACCCCCACTATAGTCATTTTATGGAGTTTTCCTTACACAGTCACGATAAATTATTAACTCCATTTCCAGCTCCTCTCCCCTCTCTAGAGAAATATGAACTTGAAAAGTTCTCCTGGTGAAGTCTCAGATGGGTATGAGGAACCTGTTATTGGAAACTGGAAGAATACCAATCCTTGCTATAAAGTGACAAAGAACTTGGCCTAATTGTGTTCCCATGTGTTGTGAAAAGTAGAGCTTGTAAGAGATGAACTTGGATATTTAGTTGAAGGTATTTCTAAGAAAAATGTTGAAGGCATGGCTTGCATTCTCCTGACTGCTTATAGTAAAATGTGAGAGGAGAGAAATAACTGGAAAAGGAATTATCAAGCAAAAAGGAACCAATGGGAAGATTTGAAAAATTCTCAGTTAATCCATACTTGCAAAAAATGAAGTGTGCTCAAGGAAGAACACCATAGGTGTGTGGCTGGACAACCTCCACTAAAGACATCATGGGTGTGTGACGTGTGGATCCAATCAACCATCCCAGAAGAAGCACTGCAGCTTGGACTGAGGAGGAACAGAGTTGGGATGACATGAAGAAAGCTCGTCAGACCTCTGGAATTCCACAGGCAAGATATGGAATGACATAGCTGTCTGGATGTGAACACATGTCATCCTCTAGTAACAGGGAAAAAGGACCCCAAAGGTGGCTGCCACTGCACACGCCCAGCCAGCAAGACTGTCTCCTTCTTGGTTGCAGAGGGTTTGGGGCTGCAGCTCAGGGCTGTGAGGGAGAAGCACCTGTGAGGGAGCAGGGCCACTACCTTGGATGGTCTGGAGGACAGAACATTTGAGCCAAGGAGGATTATTCTCTAGTCTTGAAATTGAATGGAATTTTCCACAAAAGCATCTTAAGATTAGCTGCATATATTAATTTTTATAAATGTGTTCTGTAGAAGTTTTGCAAGCTGAAGAATCAAAGATGCTAGGGCTGATGTTGTTATAATAAACTAAATCTTTGAATAACTTACAAATCTAATGAAATTTGCTCTGCTAGGTTTTGGGCTTGCTTAGGACTTGTCACCCTCCTTCTTTACAATTTCTTCTTTTTGGAATGAACATGTCTATCGTATGTCTGTCCCACCATTGTATTTTGTAAGCAGATACCTTGTTTGGCTTCACAGTTTCACCTCTGTAGTGGAATTTTGCCTCAGGATGAACCATCCCTCTAATCTTAACCATACCTGATTTTGATGCTATTTAGATGGTATTTTAGACTTAAAGTTGAAGCTGGAATAGGTTAAGACTCTTGTGGCTGTTGGGATAAGGTGAATGAATGTATTTTGCATGTGAGGACATGAATTTTGGAAGAACCAGAGGATGGAGTGCTATGGGTTAAATTGTGTCCTTGCACAATTCATATGTTGAAGTTCTAACGCTGAGTACCTCAGAATGTGAATGTATTTGGAGATAGAGTTTTTAAGGAGGTAATTAAGGTTAAATGAGGTCATGGGGGTGGGTTCTAATCCAGGATGACTTGTTCTTTTTTTTAAGATTTTATTTATTCATTTTATTTTAGAGAGAGTGCCAGTTAGGGGAGGAGCAGGGATGGGGAAGAATCTCAGGGAGACTCTGTGCAGAGCATGGAGCCTGATGTGGGGCTCTACCTCACAACCCTGAGATCATGACCTGAGCTGAAACCAAGAGTCCCATGCTCAATGACTGAGCAATCCAGGCACCCCCAATATGACTTATTCTTATAAGACAAGGAGGCTAGGACACACAAAGGAAAGACCATGTGAGGACATGGGGGGTTGGGGGGGAAACAGCCATCTACAAGCCAAGAAGAGAGGCTTCAGAAGAAATCTACTATGCTGACACTTTGATCTCAGAATTGCGAGCAAATAAGTTTCCGTTTAAGCCAAAAAGCAGTAATGAATACGTTCTACTACATAGATGAACCTCTACTATATAGATGAACCTCAAAAACAATATGCTAAGTGAAAGAAACTAGACACAAAAGAGAACATTATGAGTTTGTTTATATGAAATGTCCAGAAAAAGCAAATTTATAGTGACAAAAAGAATAGTAGTGGTTGCCTGCGAGTAAGAATGGGGAGTGACTGCAAACAGGCACAAGTTTTCTTTTTGGGTTAATGGAAATGTTATAAAATTAGATTTTGGTGAAAGTCACATACTTTGTAAAGTTACTAAAAATTCTTGAAGTGTTATCTTAATATAGGTGAATTTTATGGTGTGTAAATTATATCTCAATAAAGCTGTTTAAAAACTTAATGGTTGAAAAGAATTATTCTTTTCATTCTTTATTATTCTTCTAGGAGTTTTGAGGTTTAAGGTTTTTAATCCATTTTGAGATAATTTTTGTGTATGGTGTAAGAAAGTGGTCCAGTTTTATTCTTTTGCATCTGGCTACCCAGTTTTCCCAACACCAACTCCTTTGTTGTGAATTAATTGGCCCTATATGCATGGGTTTATTTCTGGGATTTCTATTGTGTTCTTTGAGTTGTCTTTTTTATGACAATACTATACTGTTCTGATTACTATAGCTTTGTAATGATATAGTTTGAAATCAGGGAGCATTATGTCTCTGGCTTTGATCTTTCTCAGGATTGCTTTGGCTCTTTGGTGGTCTTTAAGTTCTGATTTTATAAAATGTATCTAGAATCCTTGCTCCCTAGGAAAGGTGAGGGAGAGACAGGAAGGAATACTTGGAAAGTAAAATTCTAGAGAAAGGAAAGAGGGTAGATTAGCGACTGCGCTCTGGTATCTCATGCCTAGCCAGTTCCCTCCTGGGGTCCTCCCGCCTCCTGAATATTCAGGTACCATCCCTCAGGATCTGGGCAGCACGGGCTCTGAGCGGCTTGACCCCTGGGTACGCGGGGGCAAGAGGAAGCACGGGTGGAGCCCGGTGCTGACTCTGAATCTCCCTCTTGGGTGGGCACTCCTGAACCTGGAGCGATTCTTGGGCTGTGGAACCACGGTCCTGTACCGTCCCCTAACGGAGCTGGGGGCTTGCGTGAAGGGCTGCTGCGCCCGCTATGAGCTTATCTACCTCGTGCCAACACCCTCAATGGGAAGCAGGGGTTGGGAAGCGCCCCGGGTGCGCGCACCCTTCCCTCGTGCAGTACTCGCGCGCCCCTTTCTTTGCTCACACGTTCCAAGGACGCGTCATAACGACACACCTAACAGTGCACGCTTTGCCTCGGGCCCCTTTGGCAGCTAACGGAAACCTCTCTGAGCCACTGACTCCATTTGAAGGATCCGACCTTGCAGAACTGCTCCTTATGGGCAGTGACCTGAGCCGGCCTCGCCCTCGGCTGCCCTCCTCTTCTCTGTTGGGTGGGGACCGGCCCGAGACAACTGAGAGCCTCGGGCCCGGGCCCGCTCACCCCGCCCGCGGTGTTCCCTGGGGTGGCCGGGTTCACTCGGCGGCCTCGACCCTGGACGTAGCTCGCAGGCTGTCCTATGAGGATCTTGTGGCTTCACCACGTCGTCGTCTGCGGCGACACCGTCGGCGGTTTGCCATAATCCATCGGCGGCAATACTCAATCCAGCAGGCCCGGTGTTTATTTCTGGGGGTCTTTTCCTCTGTGCCCCAGACCGGCCATCCGAAGCCAGTGCTGTCTGCTTGCGGCTCCAAGATGTTCTGCACCTCAGTGATCCCGAAGATGGCATCCGCTAAGGGCAAACTGATGCTCTGTTTGGCTCTGAAGCAGACAGTCATCCGTATGTGGTCTTCACTGTCTGGTTACCTCACAAATCTGTGTGTAAGGGAGACCTTGGTGAGGGCCCTTGAAGAGAATGGTCAAGTGAGAGCCAAGGCAGAGAAGGACCTGACCTCCTTGGTCGAGAGCAGGGAAGGGCCGGCAAAGTCAGAGGAAGGGAACCCAGGCCGGGAGAGGCAGGATGATCTGAGAAAGGGCGTCGAGGGCAGCCGGAGCGTGCAGTCAGCGTTTAGGCAGCTGATGGTCAACGGAGTCCTCTCTTCCTTTGTGCCCAGGCCTGGGCCTCTGAAGAGAGACTTCTGTTCCACGAGCTTAGAAGAGAGCCTGATTAAGAAATCCCACACCTGCTTTTTGAGCTCCTGCAGCAAACGCAATGCCATCACGAGTTCTTACAGCTCGACTCGAGGTTTCCCATCACCACAGAGATCCACGAGCTTAGAAGAGAGCCTGATTAAGAAATCCCACAACTGCTTTTCGAGCTCCTGCAGCAAACGCAATGCCATCATGAGTTCTTACAGCTCGACTCAAGGTTTCCCATCACCGCAGAGATGCTGTCGAGGCGCTACCAGGATCTGGGGCCCAGCCTCATCCCAGCCCCGGCTGCCCACGAAGAAAGCCAGCGAGGAGAGCTATCATTCTAGCTCTTCAGCCTCAGCAGAACCACAAAGGAAGATCAGGAATGAAAAGGCTGCAGATGAACCTTCTGGGCAGAAGCAAAGTTTGAGGAATTGCTCACCTGCATCTGACAGTTCCAGGCCCCGGAAGCGCAAGATTCCTCTATTGCTGTCGTCGAGGCGAAGTGACCCACTGATCCTGCCTCCACCGCCCCAGCTAAGTTATCAAGTCACCGCTGAAGACCTTGACTTAGAGAAGAGAGCTGCAATCCAGTGGATCAACAAGGTCTTAGAAGGGTAAGACTGAGGCCATCTCTGACTGCAGTGCCCCTCAGCCTTCCTGTTTGTCCACACTTCCCGTGCCAGCCCCCAGCAGAAGAACCCCTGGCAGATGCAGCACGCACCAGGCCCAGGGACCTTCCCGTAGTCCGATGGAGGGGCACCTCCATGGGCTGTTTTTCTTGGTTCTCCCAAAACCTCTGCCTTGCTTGGCTTGGCTGTGAAAAATTGGTCCCCTTTCCCTGGTGCACCAAGGGTCTATTCCCCAGTACTTTGTGCTGGGCCTCACTGGTTCCTTGGAGGAGAATTGTAGGAAACAATTCAAGTCCAGCTGTGCCCAGGGCACTGTACCTCTGGGTCCAATGTCCCCATCAAGTAGGTTAGCTCTCTCCATAGAGACAATGTTCCAGTCCCATCGTCTTTCTGCCAGATGTGCCCCTAGAAATTGGGTGGCTGGAGTTTGTGAGGCTGGCCCACCCAGTGGTCAGGATCCCTGCAACAGAAGAGGGAAGCTTTGGACCAGTTTTTCTCCAGGAATGAGCAGACAAGACACACACTGCTGCCATATTTGTCCTTTTCCACCTTCCCCATTTGCTTAATTAGACCCTTGTCAGTCTTTCTCCTCTCTACATATGAATACTTGGTACCACAAGAACATTCAGGAAATTAACAGTTATATGTGTCACACACATATATAGTCATATATATTTATATGTCATGTATAGTCATGTATATTTATATATAATATAATATATATCATGTATATGTGTGTTATATGTTACATAATGTAATGTATATGTAATATACATAATATATACTACATATATTATGTAATACATATGAACAATATATATTTATATATAACATACAGTACATATGTATAATATATAATACATAATTATAATGTATAATAGAATATATAATTAATATATAATATATGTATATTATATACATATGTGTACTATATAGGTGATATGTAATAACACATATATATAATATGTATAATATACTACATATAGAATATATAAGGTGTATATTACATATGACAATAGATATTGACTCTCTCTCTATATATATGACTTTTTGTTAATTTGCCAAATGTTCCATGTCTTTGCTCTTTGAACATAGTGGAGGAAAAATTGACTTGTATAAGTAGCTAGCCTTAACTGTGTCAGATTTTCTGTGGCTCAGCTGATGGGGAAGTAGCACCACTTTATGCCTCTAGAGGCTGACTCCTGATTTTTGTGTTTGAGTACATGAGAGGGAAACCCACACACTAGCCTTTTCCCACTTCTGCTTCTGTCCACCTGACATCACTATGGGCTCGATCATGCCTACTATATGTTAAGAAATGACGTGTGGCAATTTAGTCTTTATTTAATTCTTAAACTTGCTGCAATTTTAGACTTACAGGACAGTTTACAATGATAGTACAGAGAATCCCCATCTAGTCTTCATTGAGCTTCTTCTAATGTTACCATCTAACTGAACACTAACCGAAACCAGGAATCTAATATTGATATGATGCTATTAGCTAAATTCAGACTTTAATTGGATTTTCCCATTTTTTCTAGTAAAGTTTTCTTTCTGTCCCAGTATCAATCCAGAATCCCAAATTGCATTTAGTTGTCATGTCTCCTTAGTCTCCTCCAGACGGACATTTTCTGTCTTAATGCCTTGTGTAACCTTGATATGTCTGAAGAGTACTCATTAGGTATTTTGTAGAATTTCCCTGGGTTTAGATTTCTCTGTTTTTTCAGAAGAACATTGAGGTTATGGATTTTTAAGAAAAATCTCACAGAGGTGATGTACCCTTCTTGGCGTGTCATCTCAGGGTCACATAATATCTATATGTCTTATTATGGGAAATGTTAACCTTGATCACCTAGTTAAGGTGGTGTTGCCAGGGTTCTCCACTGTACAGTTATTTTGCCCTGTGTAATAAATATTGGGAGAGGGGGAGTCATACTTTGATGCTACAAAAGAATCCTGTTTATCCTTGATCTTTGCATCATCAGTGGATCTTGCCTACAGCAATTATATAATTGTGCTGTTTGAATGGTGATTTTCTACTTTCTTTGTTTCTTCTACATTTAATGAGAAATTCTTCTCTAGGGAAGGGTTCTCTTGATTTATTTGTTTATTCAATCATTTAAATCTGGATGGGCTCATCAATACATATTTTGTACTTTGGGCTATTACCTAATATTGTCACTGTTAATTTTGTTGCCCAAATTGTTCCAAATTTCACCATTGTGAAATTATTCTAGGTCCTCTCAGGAGACAGAATTAGGAAGTATATGTTTCTGTGTATACATACTTAACCTATATTTCTATATTTCTTTGTGTGTGTATGTGTGTGCACAAATGAATCTATACTGATACTTCAGACTGTAATTCAGAACGACAGGGTTCATTCTAGAAATGTCCCCCTTTGCTTATGTGTAAATTCTTTCTCCAACAGTTTCTCCAGAGAAACTTGGTCTAATCTATCTATACTGTATTTACTTATTTTTCCAATTTAAGTTGTCCAAATTCAAAATTTGTCCAGTTTAATATACTTACATATTATCTATAATATATTTATTTATTTGTCTAATGCTACAATACATGTGTTGTAGTTTCAGAATTGCTAACCCTGTGGGCATCTTACCAAAGTGTTTGTGTACAATTATTTCTGTTTAGCCTTACAGTATCCACTGCTTTTAACTAAAACACTGCTTTTAAAAATCACTGGGTTCAGGTTTCAGCTTCCTTTTGGTGAGGTTATGTGATCCATTTGTACCACACCTAGATTCATTTCTCACAATCTGCATTCCATTTTGGGTTCCTCCAACAATCTAGTTGATTTTAATTTGAAGCAGTAAAACTCATTCTTTTTGGTGTACAGTTTGTTTATATTTTGTTGAGTATCTCTTTAAAAAAAAGATTATTTATTTATTTATGTTTTTAGAGAGAGAGCATGGGGAGAGGGGAGGGACCTGGGGAGGAACAGAGGAGGAGGGAGAGGAGGAAGGGAGGAAGAGTGAGAGAATCTCCAGCAGATTCCACACTGAATATGGAGCCTGACTCAGGGCTCAATCTCATGAGCCTGAGATCATGACCTGAGCTGAAACCAAGAGTCAGAGGCTCAACCAACTAAGCCATCCAGGTGCCCCTTATTGAAAATTTCTGTGTCTGTGTTCCTGAGAGATATTGGTCTGAAATTTTATTTTCTTGTGTTGTTTTTGTCTGGTTTTGGTATCAGAGTAATACTACCCACATAGAATGAGTTGGGAAGGGTTCCCTCCTGTTATACCTGGAAGAATTTGTACAATTGGTATAATTTCTTCTTCAAATGCTTGGGAGAGTTTACCAATGAAGCCATGTGGGCCTGGGTTTCTCTTTATGGGAAGACTTAAAATGACTAATTCAATCTTGTAGGTCTACTAAGGTTTCTAATTCTTCTTGAATCAGTTTTTGTAATTGGTATCTTTCTGGGAATCTGCCAGTTTCATATCAGTTGTCTAATGAGTTGACATAAAATTATTCATATTTCCTTATCATCCTAATATCTGTAAGGTAGAAAATGATGCCCTCTCTTCCATTTCTAACTTTATGCCTTTTCTCTGTATATCCATCTGAATGTCTCCTATTCTACATTCTTGCTTTCCTTTTGGTCAGTGTGGCTAAAGATTGGTCAATTGTGTTGATTTCTTAAAGAAATCAAATTTCTGGTTTTTACTTCCTCCACCATTTTTCTGTTGTCTATGTTTATTAATTTAGTTCTTTTTAATTCTTTCTGCTTCCTTTGGGATTAGTTTGCTCTTCTTTACAAGTTTCTTAAGATGGAAGATTAGGGATTTGAGACCTTTCTCTTCTAATTTAGGTATTTTAAGCTTCAAATTCCCCCTTTATTGACATTAGAAAAATGTTGATGCTATGTCCCTTTATTGGCATTAGAAAAATGTTGATGCTATATTTCAATAACATTCAGTTCAATATATGTTCTAATTTCTGTTATGATTTTTTCTTTAACCTATAGTTTAGAAGTACGTTTTTTAATTTCCAAATATTTGGGGATTTTTACACATTTCTTTCTAGTTTTGATTTATAATTATATTCCACTGTGGCCTTAAACCTACATTTAATGACTTCAATCCTTTTAAATTTGTTGGGACATTTTTATGGCCAATCATATGCTCTATTTTGGAAAATGTTCCACAGGTCCACTGCTATTTGTGGGCAGTGTTCAATCAATGTCAAGTCAAGTTTTTGGACAGTGTTGTTGAAGTCTTTTTTATTCTTATTAATTTTCTGTCCAATTTTTCTATCAGCTATTGAGAATGGAGTCTTAAAATACACAACTATAGTTGTCTTATTGTCTATTTTCATTATGAAATGTCCCTCTTTCTCCCTTGTTTTTTTTTTTTTTTAAGATTTATTTTAGAGAGAGCACATGTGCATGAGTGGGGGGAAAGGGCAGAGTGAAAGAATCTTCAAGACTTCAGACTCCCCACTGAGTGCAGAGCCTATCCTGGGGCTCAGTCTCACAACCCATGAGATCATGACCAGAGCCCAAACCAAGAGTTGGATGTTCAACTGACTGAGCCACACATGCACCCCACCTCTTTCTCCCTTGTAATATTTTTAGCCTTAAAGTCATCTTTACCAAATATTACTACAGTTACTCTAGCTCTTTTATGGATACTGTTTGCAATTAATATCTTTTTTCCATTCTTTTACTTTCAACTTATTTGTATATTTGAATCTAAGCTGTGTCTCTTAGAGTCAGCACAAAATTGAGTCTTGCTTTTTAAAATCTAGGCTCTGGGGGCACCTGGCAGCTCAGTAGGTTAAACGTCTGCCTTCAGCTCAGGTCATGACCCCAGCGTCCTGGGATCAAGCCCTACATGGGGCTCCCTGCTCAGCGAGGAGCTTGCTTCTCCCTCTCCCTCTGCCTGCTGCTTCCCCTGCTTGTGCTCTTTGTCTGATAAATAAATCAAATCTTAAAACAAAAAATAAAACCTAGGCTCTGCCCTT